GGCCTGTTTTTGCAAAAAATGGCCTGTTTTTTGCTTGTTTTTGGGCCCACCTAGCCCCCAGGAGCACTCTACAAGTCTCCCAAAGCTCTGCATGCACCCCTTCCCCCCCCCTTTTTTTTTTGCAAAAAATGAGGCATGCAGAGGATTTGGGAGGCCTGCAAAGTGCAAAAACCTTTTTTTAAAATTTACCTCTTCAAAATCATGGTGCGTCTTATATTCTGGTGCGTCTTATAGTTCGAAAAATATGGTAGTTCTTTGAAAATCCATCCAAAAACCCCAAGACAATGTAATTCTATTAAAAACAACCAGCTCTACTTATTAGCTTCTAAAAAAATAAGAATATACAAGCGTGATGTACATGAGAGATGGATACAGATTACCTTGAAACGTTCGCTGTCCTCTCATAATGATTCTTCACATCTCAGCTATTAAGTAGTTTGGAATAATTGTTTTGTAAACATTTTCTCTGACTTGATGCCTCTAACTTTATTTCCTATTTTTATGGTATTATCATGATTTTGCTCAAGTTGTTTATTGTTACTGCCCCTTATTTATGACCACTGGATTTTTAGATTGTATTGTGAATATTTTAAGTGTATTTATTCTATGTAAGCCTCGAAGAAACTGCTGAATTGTGGTGGGATACAAATGTATTTAATGAATAAAATAAACAGCCCGATACCCGTGTCATGCTTTGATATGATAACCTCACACTGTAATGTTCTATATGCAAAAGTATAAATATATAAGGACTTTATTAATACTAAAAAATAGTATGGTGAAAGGCTCTTCAAGAATAGTAGACCTTGTAGCAATAGCAATAGCAATAGCTTTCAGCCCTCTTTAAGCGGTTTACAGAGTCAGCATATTGCCCCCAACAACAACAATCTGGGTCCTCGTTTTACCCACCTCGGAAGGGTGGAAGGCTGAGTCAACCCTGAGCCGGTGAGATGTGAACAGCCGAACTGCAGAACTGCACTCAGCTGAAGTAGCCTGCACAGTACTGCATTTAACCACTGCGCCACCTCGGCTCTGTGACAGTCTTGCATTTGAAAGTTTCATTCTTTTAAATTGATTTCAATATATACATTAATTTAAGTTTTTTTTAATTACTTATATAATATTACTTGAGGTTTTACATTATGTATTTATTCATATCTGAAGAAATTGGAGCACCATCCTGTACAAGCCAAATATGCCAAAACTGGCCAACTCCACTGAGATACAACTAAAGGCAAATAATACAGACACTTCTAAATAGCTACTCACTTCAACTTCATACACATTTTACAGTTTGATGTTGCTGTGAAATGAATGAATGAACGAACGAATGAACAAATAAATGCTAAAGTATTTTTATCATAGTTAACAACTTTGTGGAGTTTTTAAACTAGCACATACTCATTTCCATGCATCACTGATTTATTATGAATGCTCACTTCAGCAGCAAAGGCTGTAACAACATTCATGGATAGAGACAAAGGTTCTCTTTTTTTCTTATTTTGACAAATTAGTGAATGTCAAATGGTGGGAAGGTAGTTGTCCTATGCCCTGTTTGTGAGCCCCTCAAATGGGTATGGGCTCAAATGGCCACTAGTACAGTAAAGCTCTCAACCAAGGTTACATCTTCATAATATTGTACATGCTTTGAATAATTTATTTCTAGTGAATTTACATTAAAGATAAAACAAAATAAAAGCAATGTTTTGAAAGTTGCTCCATATAAATTGTGGTGGTCGATACCTTTGCCATATCTGAAAGTGCCTGTTTGTATCTTAACTTTAGTTCTGTTCTTGCCAATTATAAGACAAAACAAAATAGAATGTGAAGTCCTTGATGGTCTCTGAGCTTGGTTGTTTACTTGCAGATAGGGGCCAAGTATACCTATATCTAGTATACCTATATCTGACTTCTTTTAAACAATTTGATTTCAATATTTTAATTGTAGCTTGCTGAAAATGAAGAATAGGAGCACGTGGTGCAGGTCTTATTGTTCAATAAATACTAAGCTGATTCCCACTTAACTCTAACACTATACAATTTCTATACTGTCTCACATAAATGCCAACCAATAATGTAACTACTAATAGCAGAATTTGGAATTCTGAAATGAAAATAAATTTTCTTGATAAGAGCTAAAACATACAAATAAAAAAGACCCAAAATAAACCTACTCAATAATTTCTAATGACAAATGTTATCTATTAACACAAGTTAATACATTGTTAAAGAGAAGCTTATTAACCCAATCTCCTCACTGTGGGTTTGTCAACAATATCTTTCACTGTGGAAAGCAAGGTAGAAAACGTGAATGATCTAATCCAGTATGGCTGTCATACAAAAGACTAAAAACAAAAATACAAATCAATTTGTATGATATATGAAGAGAAAATTAAAAAAAAAACATTTGGAGCAAGATCTATATTTGCTTTGGTAAAATGAAAAGAAGACTACCGTATTTTTTGGACTATAAGATGCACCTGATTATAAGACACACCAAGATTTTGAAGAGGTAAATTAAAAAAAAAGTTTTTGCATTGTGCAGGCCTCCGTAACCCTCTGCACGACTCATTTTTTGTGAAAAACAGGGCATGCAGAGAGTTTGAGAGGGCTGCAAAGTGCTCCTGGGGCTGGGGGCAAAAATGAGCAAAAAATGGCCCATCTTCCACTCATTTTCACCCTTCCCAGCCCCCAGGAGCATTCTGCTGCCTCCCAAACCCTCTGCAAGTCCATTTTTATGAAGGACGTGGGGTTTCCGGAGGCTAAAAATGCTGAATTCAGTGTATCAGATGCACCCAGATTTTCACCTTCTTTTTTGGGGGAAAAAGCATCTTATACTCTGAAAAATATGGTATATATAATGTTAAGCACTTTTATTATCCTGGGATTTTTCTCTCCAAGAGGCTCCAGAGGGCCCTCAGAGCAGTTAACAAAATATTTTAGACTATTATAAATAAATAAATCAATAACGTACCAAATCCCGGAATGACTTTGAGACTAGATTTGAGGCAGATTTTTTCAAGTCGGAGGTAGCTATATCTCAGCAAACAACTCCATAAAAACATCCAATCCATTCGTGTTCGATGATTCATGATTATGACACTTCTTTCTCCGGGGATGAATCCATCACCTGTTATGACTACTTTTGACCCAAACACTATCTCCAGCAGGGCCTAGATAAAAACAAAAAATATTATATGACAATCCTACAAATGAGCTAAATATCTCAGAGCAAATATTAACACTGATCAAATTTTTAAAAAAGCATTAAATTGCACTAAAATTTTAGACTAGTCTATGCTTACCTCCACAAATACAATATAGCTTTTTTTCTTTGAAAAGTTATAATTTACCTGAAGAATGTGAAAAACTTTTGACAATAATATAACTGCATAAATGAATATAATAGCAACTGCATGGCTAGGCAAGGTGAATCTAATACTTCAGCAAATCCTTTGGTCAGTAACTTTTATTTCAAAAAAAATATGTACAGATTCTTATCACAAGAGATAACTGATTTGAATAAAGTGTTACTCTACTTCAGAGGATTGTTAGTTCTAGTTCTGTTTTAGGCATGAAAAATCAGGTGGATGACTTTGGGACAGTGACTCTCAGTCACTGTCTCAATTCACCTACAGACTGCTGTAAGGAAAATAAGTGGAAGGAAGAATATTAGGTACCGATATGCTCACCACCTTGAGTTATTCATAAAAAAAGGATGGGATAAAATGTAAAAAAAAATTAACCCAGTTCTGATCTTGAATTTTATGTAACAGGGAACAATCTGCCTGGTATTTACAGAGCTCTATCTGACTTTATTTTATTTATTTTAAAAATATTAAAATGGGTTCTTGAAATGCTTTCTGTAGTTTCATACACATTTAAGAGAAAGTTTATATAATGAATTCATTTCATTATGTTTTTACACCTGTTGTATTTTGCTCTTATCTTTCGATGTTTTTATTGTTTTTGTCAACCATTTCAAGTTTCTGTTATTTAAAATAGGCCTCCCAGAAGCCTCCAAAAAATCTTTTTAGAACACTAAGCAGGTATCAATGAGCCCAGCAAAAAATAGAGTTAAACTGGGGTACAGAGAAGCACAGAGACCAATTTGTCTTTGGTATATGTGTTTTATAACTGGATTTGTTCCCAAGGCAACCACTTTGCCAGAGTACCCAGAGATGTTTTTAAAATTCTAAAGGTTTCCACTAGCCAAGAAAGGTTGCCTAATCCTGCTCTGGGCTATAAAAGAAAGGAACAATAAGGACATAAGATAATTATAGACAGAAATGCGGGAGATATTAATTTTTCAACCTCTATTTAGGGGGTTGTTGATACACCCAGGAGTTATACTCTAAAGGAGTAAATCAATAATTTTCAGTATTTCTTCAAACTCCAGTGGAAACTTAGCTTAATTTGAGGGTTGGCATATTGTTCAACCACAGAGGATGAAAGAAAATGTTGGAGAACTGTGGGGCAATCCTTACTTGCTAAACACTGAAGCAGTGTCTTACTGAATCACCACATGGTCTGAAAGCAGCTTTAGTTATGTTGTAAAAGTAACAGAAAACAGACATACTGTTTCAAATTAGACGTATTTAGTTATAAAATCATAAACATCTTTTTCACATGAACCTCTTTGCACAGCACTGAATTGGTGCTTGTGGAACAGCCACTTGCACATTCATAAAGTACGGTGATTAGTAGGCATTATTTGGGCAGCCAATGACCAAGGACTGCTCTATGAGATACCACTCTGCAGATTTCAGTAAGAGGCTTTGGAACGTATTGACCAGTTTAAAACATTTTTTCTCTTGCTTTCCTTCTGAAAAGAAAATGGGAAGTTATATTTCTATGATGTGGCAGTTTGCCATCATATTGTTATACAGGTAATTTTCAAATTACAATCATTTATTCAGTGACTGTTCGATGTTATATTGATGCTGAACAAAAGGACTTGCAACTGGTCTACAAGATTGCAGTCACTGCAGTGCCCCTATTGTCATGTCATCAAAATGCAGGTGTTTGGCAGTGTGCCCTGCACTTAGAGCTACAAGAGCACTATAACTCCGTCTTCCCATGTATCTCACCCCTCCACCTGTGCCATTGTGGCTTTCTGTACTTTGCCAACACTCTATCTGGCTGGAATCGTCTTTCTCAATACAACTGCTGGCTCTCCGAGGCTTTCTTCCCAAGGTCACACACAGTGGCTTCCTTGCAAGATCTGGGGAAGATGGCCTCGCCTGGCCAGCAGCTCCATTATGAAGTGTCAGGGTGGGCACAGCTCATCAGTAATTGGAGCAATAAGACTGATGGTCAGTTGCAGTGATAAACACAGGGTGGCAGGAGACTGTGACTGCAAGGTGGCTGGAGTAGCTGAGGCCACAGGGCACTGTGACTTTGTGCCATGCCGCTAGGTTGGCTATGACTTTCAGGAGCTATTGCTTTGGAGTTCTGTGGTTTTCCTACATCAGACTTCCTCAGTCTTGGATTAAGGAATGCACAGAATGAGAAAGAATGTTGGTCTTACCTGAACGTGTCTTTTCAGTAGAATAAAGGGAGGGGTTATGCGTGGGTTTTGTCACAGCCTGATTGGTCCATAGACTGAGGGAAATTTCTTTAATATTCCTCCTTTCCCACTGGCTCCCAGTTTTCACGATGTCGATGGACCACACCTGTAAAAACACAAGAACACCAAGGGACCTCCCAGCCCTCCCACTGGCCTATCTCTATACTTAACTAGGGCGGGTCGTAACCCCTCCCTCTATTCTACTGAAAAGACACGTTCAGGTAAGACCAACATTCTTTTTCCAGTAGAATCGAGGGAGGGGTTACGCGTGAGACATATCCAAGCTTAGTCCCAGGGAGGGAAACTAGGACCCAGGTGAGGGGCGGCTGCCACCCGCTGTAGGACCCTGCGACCAAAGGACGCCTCCAAGGAGGCGAATGCATCCAGTCAGTAGTGACGGATGAAAGGTGTCATGGACGACCAAGCGGCCGCCTGGCAAATGTCCTTGAATGGGGCCCTGGTAGCCCATGCTGCGACACTCAGCATTCAGTGCTGACATTCAGGTGGAATGGACCGTGATCCCTGCCGAGGGAGCCTGACCAGATGCCTCATAAGCTGTCGCTATGGCCTGCCGCAGCCACCTGCCAATGGTGGCTGAGGACATCCTGGCTCCTAAAGACCCGGGCTGAAAAGAGACAAAGAGAGCCTCTGATCTGCGTACCCCCGACGTTCGCCTGAGATAGATACGCAAGGCGTGGCGGACATCCAGTCGGTGCCAGAGATGCTCCCTTTTGTGGGAAGGGGCCAGACAAAAATTAGGCAAAATGATCTCTTGTGCCCTGTGAAATGGAGTGTTCACTTTCGGGAGAAATGTAGGATCCAGACGAAGGACCACCCTATCTTGATGGAATTGGCAAAAATCATCCCTAGACGACAGGGTGCCCAGTTCCGAAATACACCTGGATGACATCATTGCGACTAGGAAAGCCACCTTGAGGGAAAGTAATCTAAGGTGGAGCATTCAAAGGGGTTCAAATGGTGCTACTCTCGGTGCTTTGAGGACAAGGGGCAGGTCCCAGGTTGGAAATCTATGCATTGGGGGAGGCCTGAGGTTTTCCGCCCCCTTTAGGAAGCGTTTAATCAGAGGGAGGTGAGAGAGGGTGGAGGGACACCCCCCCCCCAGGAATGGAGGACAAAGCCACCATCTGGCGATGTAGGGTGTTATGGGAGAGGCCTCCATCTAGCCCCTTCTGTAGGAACTCGAGAATCTCGGCCACTGAGGCTCCGGTGGGACTGATACCTAGCGGTGTACACCACCTAACGAACGCCGATCACGTGGAGTTGTAGATCCGAGTGGTCGATGGATGTCTCGAGGCCTCAATGGTTGCTATGAACTTGGAGGATAGGTTAGCATTCCTCAGGAGTCGCCACTCAAATGCCAAGTGGTCAAGTGGAGCCACTGAGGCTCCGGGTGGATCAGGACCCCTTGGCACAAGACGATCTCCTCTCGAGGAATCCTCCATGGAGGGGAGACTGATAGTTGGACTAGGTCCGCAAACCAGGGCTTCCTGGGAAAATAGGGGCCAGCATGATGACGTACACCCTCTCTGTCACTACCTTACTGAGGGTCCCCGGGATAAGGGGGATAGGGGGAAAGGCATAAAGAAGGCCTGGTGGCCATCTGCTCCTGAGTCTGTGCCGTTCGTGGTTCAATTCTGGAAGCAGGAGAAGAATCTCGACAGTTGCAAGTTTGCTGGGGTAGCAAACAAGTCCACCCGCAGGGTGCAAAACCTCCAGCAGATCTTCTGGAACAACTTGGGTCGGAGTTGCCACTCGCCGTTGTTGAGGGTTGCTTGGCTCAGCCAGTCGGCCTGATGGTTGGACGTGCCCGATATGTGTTGACACCAGTGATGACAAGTATCTCTTTGCCCATGAACCGATCTTCAGGGCCTCTAGCCAGAGAGCCCGGGAGTGGGTACCCCCCTGACAGTTTATGTGGGCCTTTGTGGCTACATTGTCTGTCAGGGGAAGCACGTGACATCCTACAAGCAAGTCCTTGAAGTGTCGGAGGGCCATGCGAGCTGCCTTCAGCTCCAGCCAATTAATGTTGTGGCGGAGATCTGAAGTAGTCCAACGACCCCGCGCCAGCCTGGAGTCCATCAAGGCACCCTAACCGAACAAACTCATGTCCGTTGTCACTGTTACTCTGTTCGGCTCCCAGGGCCGCATGGACTGACCCTGGTACCTGCTACAGTGCTGGTAAGATGGGTGTTGGAACTGTCTGTCTAGCCTAAAGGAATTGTATTTCTGCTGGTGGTCGTGCTCGGGGGCCCTGTAAGAGGGTCTACAATATGGAGGAGGGTGAGAGTCTGACTTTTTAGCATAGGAGGGAAGGACCTTTTTCTTATCCTTGTTCTCTATTAAGATGGGATCTAATGCTTCCCCAAAAAGATTAGCGCCTGTGTAAGGGGCCACCACCAAATTCCATTTGGCCTTGTTGTCCATCTGCCAAGTGTAGAACCACAACAAAGCACCAGGAGCTTACCAACGCGGCTAGAGCACTGGAGGCAAATTTAACGGCGTCCAGGGTTGCGTTGGCCAAAAATTGAGAGGCGGCTATGATTTTAGTTATGTCTTGATGCAGCCGCTCATCCTGGATCGGAATACTGGAGTTGACGGAGCCACATAACAGTTGTGCAGTTAAAGTAAGAAGCTGCCGCCGATTTGATTGCCCAGACGGATGCGTTAAGGTTCTTGCGCAAGGTAAGTTCCGCATGCTTGTCCTCCGGCTTCATCTTATTAGCTGAATCCCTAGAAGCTACAGAGGAGGAAGAAACCAGAGCTGCTACTGGGGTATCATTGCTGGCAATTGCAGAGCCTGAGCAAAGGCCTGCTCTACATTGTAGAAGCGGCAATCGCTGCTGCCTAGGTTGGAAAAGGTAGAAGGACGGATCCACTGGTTCTTTACTACCTCAAGAAACAGGGGGGGGGGAGCAGGAATCTTCTCCTTGTTCATCACAGTGTTAGAAAACATAGCCAGATTGGGGTCCCTAGGTTGAGGGACCATTGGATCCCTAGTTCCGATCTTAGTGGTTTTCCTGGCTTTGTGTAACAGCATTTTAAACATGACTGGTGGAAACAGTCCCGGAAAGGCGGGGGGGATCAGGAGGAACCGAATCCTTGTCTTCTGAGAAACCCATGTCGTAATGATTGTCCTTCCCAAAAATGGAAACTTCGCTGACCATGGAGGGGGATGGGGGCCTGAGATGCTGTTGCCTATGAACCCCCGGGACCCTGCCAGATTGAGGAGCTCTATCTCTCTGGGATATACTGGCAATGCCCCGTGAGATGGCCAAAGAAATGAATCTTTTAATACTTTTAGGCAGAAGATCTAGTTTTCAAGGTCCTCCTGCAAGGGACCTGGTAATGGCGGCTCCTGGGCAGCTAACCCTGCAGAGGTATGGTAAGACCTAGAAGGTCCCTCCAAGGGGTCTGCATCCCCACCCACAATGGCTCTTGGGGAGATAGAAGAGGAAGGGGAAACTCCCTGCCTGGAATACCTATGGGATCTAGTAGGAGAGACTGAAGGGGAAGAAGGGCTGAAACCTCTGGGGGGAGAGCCCAAATGGATGGATGAGGGCCTGATAGGAGATCTGGATCTGCTGGCCGAGTTGGGCCTAATGATCTGGGCCTGCTTTTCTGCTCTGGCAATGGTTTTTTCCAGAGCCCTCTGTCTTCTAAGTTCATCACTTGTTGCGGCCCTGGAAGGGCGTTGATCAGCCATGGACTTGGAGGCCGCGGCCCTGGTTCTGGGCCTATCTAATTGGTCTTCCCTGCCTCCTTTATGGGCCTCTGGTGGGGCCTGGGGAGGCTCAGATCTTGCTGCCATTGTAACACTCACGTGTCCGGATTCTAAGGCCACTGTAGGTTCCACCAGTAGCTTGGCCTATGGGAGCTGTGGATCTGCGTTCAGTTCAATGTCCTGCTGGCCTTGATTAGTGACCACGACTGAGGGCGACCAGGCGGTTCTGCGAATGGCCTCAACATGGCGCCTTTCAAAATGGCCACCGGAGCCTCCGATCGCGTTGCCGAGTGGTTTGGAACGGCCGCAGATTGCCTTTTAAGTGCCGCGGCTCTTCTTTTTAATCGCTGCACTCCCTGATGATCTGGAAGGCGCGGCAGAAGGCAGCGATCACAAGGAGCTAGAAGAGGACAGTGTGATGGGGGAATTTCCGTGCGCTCCGAGGTGGCTCTCAGCGCCGGAAAAAAAGTCGCGGTTTCCCTTTTAAATTATGCAGCTGAAAAACTTGGCTTGCAGCAAGCTCCCGGAAGCTGCGCTTCGAAACCCGTCACCCACGCTGGACCAGAGATCAGACAGGACTCCTGGCCCACAGAGTAAGAGGGCGGTGCCCCGAAGGGCTCTTCTAAGCTGCGTGAGGCAGAAACGACTGCCCCTAGGGCCGAAGCTGAGGTAATTTAGAATTTAGAAAATCCAATCAATCAAATCAATTAATCAATTACAATTAATTCACAGTAATTTTCCTATCTAAGAGCCAAAGTAGTGCTTGGACCAAAAGACTGAGAGGAAACTGGGAGCCAATGGGAAAGAAGGAATATTAAAGAAATTTCCCTCAGTCTATGGACCAATCAGGCTGTGACAAAACCCACGCGTAACCCCTCCATTGATTCTACTGGAAAACGCTAGTGACATTAAAGGTGGGACATATGTTAAAATACTTTGCAGGCTTTTAGGCAACAGTGAGATAAACAAATAAAATGGAATCCAGAAGTATCTAATGTACATTCGAAGTATCAGACATTTAGAATCCATTTTGAAATGACAGAAATTGCATATTGTTGAGTCTTCTAAATGCTATTATTACTTAAGGAGACAAATAAATCCTACCCTTATGAAGAGAAGAGTTGTGTTTATATAAAACCATGTTTTAACAAATATTGATTTATCTCAAGCTACACATTAAAAGTTTTACTATTAGATTAATGCTTGCATTAAAAAAAAAACCAATCCATTCAATCATGTCTGCTTTTCAGAGACTGCCCGCACAAGTCCCTGCAGTTTTCTTGGCAAAAATTTTCATAAGTGGTTTGCCACTGCCTCATTCCTATGGCTGAGAGGTAAAGAGGCTGATCCAGGGTCATCCAGTTGGTTTTGTGCCTAAGACAGAACTAGAACTCAAGGTTTCAGAATTTATAGACTGATGCCTTAAACAAACTGGCTCAAAAAGTGTGTCTAACCTTGCTTAATATGAATATTAACATCTCTCTACTGACAAATCTGCCTGGTGACTTTATGAACCTTGTTTTTTTAACATAAAATAACAATAATATTATAATTTAAAAAGTGGAAATAGGCCAACCATTTAGCTAGATTAGTCAAGATAACACATTTAAAAAGAGGAAACAAGATTTAGGTGTGGGTAAAACTAAAACCTAGTGAATATTTTTTTTAAAAAGCTTCATTATTATTAATAGTAACACATCAGAACTAACAATAAGTGGTTAAGAAGCTGTTGTTGAGCAGGCAAAGGGCAAAGTATCCCAAGGAGAGGAGATCTGATGGTATAGAATAAGCAAGGTAATCCTGACAAAGGCAAGATTTTTTACCAAAACGATGAGAGATAAAAAAAATATTTTAAGTCTATAATAAACACAAAATGTGTAAGAGGCTATACAGACACCTCCCTAAAGCAATGATTATAAGAATGCGAGAAGGGATAGCACAATTGGACTTCTGTTATTATATTATTAGTCAATAAAATAGGCTGCATTTTAATAATAAAATACTAGTTTCAATAAAAGTAGTTTCAATCTAACAAATCAAGTACCACTGTATTTTCCATTCCAAAGTAGATTAATACATTTTTAATGGTTGATCTTTTTTGATACTCATCTTAGTAAATTGTGGGTATCAATTATTTCAAGGAAATAGCCATTTTCTTTTACTGTCTAATGTTCTTCCAGTTAACTTGCAAATTTTTCTTTGCAGAAAATGACTAAGTCACTGAAGCTAAGTATACTTCTTTAGGAGAAAGTACAATTTAATCCGATGGAATGTATTTCTTACTCAACATGTAAAAGCAGGAGGGGAGGACTAATTATTATATTTAAATTACAACTCCTAGCATGCTTCATTCTTTGTTTGATTGGAACTACTTGAAGATGTGATTTAGTAACATTCTGAGGGCCTTACCTATACCCACACCACCTTCCACTCTTCACTTTTTAATTCTACCTCAACTTGTAGTAGAACGGTCTATAGGGGCTCCTCCTCAGACTCCCCATGGAAACGTTTTTAGCGTAAATCCCTGGGATTTTAGTTTGCTCATCTTATTTGGCACTCAATAAAGCAACAGATTTCTGAAATCATTTGTTGGCAGTATTTTTAGAAAATAATGAAAGACAGAACTGCCATTTTTCCTTCATACCCCTCCTCTACAATCACACTTGCTGCAGATACTTTTTGAGGAAATGGTTTTACATATAATTATTTGGAACCTGGAAGCTCTAGATATTTTCAATTAAAGGAATGAGCTAATCCTCTTCTTCATTTGTACTGGGTTACAATATTACACACTTTGCTAAAAACAGCAAATCCGTTCAGAATAGAAATGGGCAATATTTCCCTATTTTGCAAATTTTATATTCCGTTTCTTAGGAGTAGACAAATTGCCAATTCAAATAGTCAATTATATAAAAAGTGAGAGCATACATGCACAAAAGTTCACTGAAGTGTTGAATAATTCAAAGGAACCAATTTGATGCATTGAATCAACACTCAGTTTAAAGGAATAATTGAATCAAAGCTTCGCATAGCTTAAGAGCTAATATTATTAAGTCCTTTGACACTAAGTTTCTCAACAGCTAATCAAATTTCCATAACCTGGTTATCTGAGATGAATTTGATTCTGATAGTCCTAATGAGGTAAACAGGCTTCTTGGAACTATTAACTTGGCCTCTTGTGTTTTAGAGCTATGACCCTCCTAATTAGCCAAGGCTTCCTGGGAGACAATGTGTTATTGAGCCTTGGGTGGGGAGACAATATGTTATTGAGCCTGGGGGGGGGGGGATTATCCTTGAAAAAGAAGGTGGTCCCACCAATAATTAAAGAAAGCTCAAGAAGCTACTCCTGAACGATGTTGGACAATTTTCAGCTCCAATTTCTCTTTTTAAGGAAACTTACGAAGAAAGCAGTCATGCTACAGCTTCACAGAATCCTGCAAAAAAGGAAGATCCATTTATACCACTTTTACTCTAGTTTTCTGGGTTTGGGACCAAACAATGTTGTTTGTGTTTGTTGATAACTTCTAATGGAAACAGGATGGGGAGAGCACATTCATCCTACATCTCTTTCATCTTTCAGAGACTTCAGGACTGATTCTGTCTCACACAGTGATCATTCAAAGTTATGACGGTGATGAAAAAGTAATTCTGCAACCAATATCCAACCAATATATCTAGCATAGTTGTCATTTATTCACCAATCCAAAGCTACTACACCAACCTTATTTAAACATTTTACACTGAGCTTTAAAGCATATTATCTGGCATAACACAAGTAATATATTATTTTGGAATATGGGAGTGGGATGGGGAGGAGTTTATAAATTACAGACATAATCAACTTACCACTGGAAGTGTAAACCAAGTGGCCACAACACGATCAGTAAGCCAGCGATACCAAGCTGGGGAAATAGGCATCAGTGGCAGTAGGGGACCAAGCATGAAGATGCTTCCAAAAAAACTTCCCAAAAATAGTGCAAGTACAAAATAAATTCCTTTCCATAGCACCATGTTTCTGAAATACAATGGAACAAGGATTTGGTAAACAGCTTTAATGCTAGCTTCTTCCCCAAACAGTAACTTTTCTGGCCTTTCTAGTACTGGTTTTCTATTTTTGTTTCTAATTATTTGTTTTACACATTAAATAAAAGCAGTAATTTATGTACACAGAGAAATAATTTATATATGCCAAGAAATAAAAATGATAAATCAACTGATGGTTAGCTATCAGCTGGTGATACCAGTACCCCAAACATTTATTTTTGAAATGAACTGATTCTGAACAGAGTATCTCTTAACAGATTCAAATAACTAATTTTGATATTTTAACTAATTAGAAACAGTGGAATTTTCTAAATTCTGCACCTCTTCTATTGAAAAGAGTGCTACTGGCCAAAATCTTGGTTGCAATACACTTTCAAATAAATTCAATGTATGTCAAACTTAATTACTCTTATAAAATATACATCAATTCCATGATAAACATCTAATACTTAATGAATCAGATGCATAAAACAGATTTCCTGATTAAATGTGACTTAATTCCAGAATAGCCCATCATTTGCTAGGAATATTTCCATCTTAGTAGGCAACTTCCTACCATTACCCAAATTTGGAAACACTAGTTTTCCAAATTACAATCTATAAATAGGCTATCTCATATTATTTATTACAGTATTAAACTAGTTGTTTGTAAAAAGAGGGTGCTCTTGTTCACAACTCTGAAGAGCTCTCTAAAAGATCAGTTTAAAATTGCATACAATAATTTGCACTGGACCGACAGGAAACTGACGTTTTCAATTTTAGGGGGGAAATAGCAGTGGAAATAGCAGTCATAAAAAGGAGGGGTTTGGGAGGTGGTTGATAAATATCAGAATATGAATATGAATATGAAGAATGCAAGAGTGCAATTCTCCCCCCCCCCCTATTTATTTTACGTAAATACGTTGCAATTTACGTAAAATTATACCCACAGATTCTAAGATTCTAAAATCCTTTAGCTTTAACATTTTGTTTTCAAAGAACAGGTAAATAATGACAATAATAATCATCATATTAGCCATGCTAGAGGCTAAATGCCACATTTAGTTGAATTCTCAATTTTTCTTCAGATTAACTGCTTTGGTTTTATGAAACATTAGCATATCAATATATAAGTTCTCTACGGCTCTGAAGGGAGCAAGAGGCATGGTTACAAGAACTTTGAACTCAGTCCTTGGGCAGCAAACTGAAGTTAACGCGTGCTTGGACACTCCAAGCAGCGCCTAGGAGAACTCCTTTTTCTTCCAAAAAATGAACAATTACGGTTATGGTAACAGTAATCCTACCTTATCACTCTTATTTGTGACAAATTCTATTATGTGAAATAGGAACATTATATGTTTCCATGACAATTTTGTTATTTCTTCTAGGTTTTCAGATATTTTTTGGTGGGGAAAACCCCTCTCCTTCTCAATTGATCCATTACATTGAGATTTCACTGAAAGGGTTATCATTTTTTTCCTTCTATCTACAAGAAATTTAAACAATATTTACTTTGACAGTTTACATATTTGGGTTATATTACTTCTGTCCTTTATACGATGAAATTACAAAACATACTTCTTACAAGTCACACCTTGTTAGAAGTTATAAAAATAGGAAGCCTAATTCAGATCACTTAACAATTTTTCAGTTCCCATTCAGCCACCAATTTCATAAAAGAAATGAAACAATATGAGATCCATTCTTAATATCAGATTAAAAAGATGTGCTTTTGTATCTAAAATTAAAGATGTCCAAAGATCTGCATAATTTGATTAATTTTACTGTGCAATTCTAACTTAAAAATGATCAGGAATACCACAAATGCCACAAGCTGTCTTCTAAACCGATGAAAAGAGAAGAGAAGAGAAGAGAAGAGAAGAGAAGAGAAGAGAAGAGAAGAGAAGAGAAGAGAAGAGAAGAGAAGAGAAGAGGTCTGTTAAATAGAATTATCTTTTCGGTATATGACAAATGACTTGAGCCAACAAATAAAATTAAGTTTCATCAAATTACTAAATTTGATCAGGGTAGTATTTCAGTTTAAAGCAACTAACAATAAAACTTTTCTTAATCTTTAGAGATACTAAAATTTCAGTTTATTCTTTAGTCAATTATTAAGCAGAAACCCCATCCAACAAACCATTTTTTTCAATGAACTTTAAAATATTACAGAATATATTCTACTAAAAGAATAAAAGAGAAGAATGAAAACCAAGCCAGAACAAATAATCCAACTCAATTTCAGTGTAAGATAACATCCTATGTTTTAAGCTTGTATGCAGATGGTACTTGCTTCCTCACCCTCTGAAGCTTTCTTTCTTTTACACTTTACGATGGAACAATGGAACCAGTATTTTAAAAAGCATAAGAAAGAAATGCATATATAAACAGTGCACTGGAAACATAAAGAGCCCATAATTCCCTAGCTCATGCTATAAATTTGACAAATACTGTAATTTTTGGACTATAAAATGCACCTAAACTTAGAGGAAGAAAAAAATAGAATTTGGCCTCCGTGTGTTGCGTTTTCGCCCTCCTCAGCCCCACCCTGAAGGATGCTGGTCCTCACTCCAAATGAACAAAACTTCACCACAAGACACATTGAGTATGTCACTTCAACTTCGCCGAAAGCTGGGAAGTCCTAACAACAGGTGAGTGTCCTAACAGCTCTGACAGACTCAGTCCAATCAGCGAACAGACGAGGTAAACCCATGCCTGGATGCTATCTCCACCTCAATGGAGAACTGGTGTACTTTTGACGAAAACGGGACATATGGAGCATTGCAGAGTGCTTCTGGGGCCAGGAAGGGCGAAAATGCGACATGTGGAGGGTTTGGGAACCCAAAAATGGGCCCGTTTTCAGCAAAAATGGGCTGTGCAGAACACTGCAGTGCTTCTGGGGGTCTGGGAGGGCAAAAATGCAACCCCCAAAGGGCTTGGGAACCCCAAAATGTACCCATTTTTGGCAAAAACGGGTTGTGCAGATTGCTGCAGTGCTTCTGGGGGCTGGGCGAAAACGCAATGCGTGGAGGGTTTGGGAGGCCAAAAATGCCTGTATTCGGTCTATAAAATGCACCTACATTTTCACCCACTTTTGGGGGTGGGGGAAGATGTATCTTATACTCCGAAAAATATGGTACATATACCCTTTTTTGAATCATTTAATGAGTGTGATTTTAGATTGTGGACTATAGGAATAAACATCACATTTTATTAAGAGCAAAACATGTTCTGTTTGCATTATCTACATATTATATTTGCATTAATGGAAAAAAAACTTTTCCATGAATCTCAGAAAGTATGTAAATCTCAAATTATCTCAGATTACGAAGATTACAGTTAGTATTCACTTACTGATCATATATGTTCAGCAAGGGTAGAAGTCATGCCAGTTCTGAAAAAAAATACTTTTATAGACTATTTATAACCATTTGCAAACTTTGCAGTATCTCTCAGTCATCACTATTACAGTTATTATTCAGTAGAGCAGAGATTAGAGACAAAGAAAATAAGCTGTTGCTCTTCTAACCACTGAAAGTGATCTCAAAGTCTGTGGGCCAGCTTACAGTAGTCTCCTTAAATCTCTTTCTCTTCCTTCTATCCACTTGGGGGGCAGAGGTAGCATGTGATTTCTATAGGCAATAACTCCTTTGCCTGACTCTTTTTATTGGTGTCAGGATCACAATTATCTTGCTGTTCAGAAGAGCAAAAAGCTTACTCTCTTCAAATCTCTCCATTCTGTGACGGGGAAGCAGACAATTTCTGTAGGCCATTTCTCCTTTGCCTGACCCCGTCCGAGTGGAGAGGATCCTGTGGAATAACCTAGGGAATAACCCAAGGAATAAATGAAAATAAAAATAAAGGCAGCTACAATCTCTCACAAGAAGGGTCTGAGTCCAGGTTGATGCCCAAGAACTGGAGCTTAGCAAAAGACGTCCTATAGGGCGACTGAGTTTTTTGAAACTGAGCCTCTGAGGCAACCAAGAGGCGGAGCTACAATCAAATTTAAACTCAGTTCCTTGGGCAGCAAGCTGAAGTTAACCCGTGCTTGGACACTCCAAGCAGCACAATAAGGAGAAAGTTAGATTAAGAGAAAATGAATCATAAGTGAACCAATGAGCATTCATGCTTGAGAATTTTCTAGTCCAGTATCTTAACCAATACACTACTGGCTTTTTGAATTCATTAGATTATTTGCATTTATGAATTTTATAGACATAATAATTTAGTTTGAAAGCTGGCTGCATGACTATAAGCCAGCAACTCTCTTAGCCCAATCCACTACCAGGGCTTTTATTATGAAGAAAATAGGAGAGGGAGCATTATGTATGCCTTCTTGCACAAAAATAAAGATGGGATTTGAACTTCATAAATAAATAAAGCACATCTACTACATATTTTATTAACCTATTGTGCTACAAATTTAAAGTTCATAAACTGAAATCTGAAATAAAACTTTTGATTGAAAATTTACTACCTCTTTCAGTAAATAATTCTCTAAAATTCTTAAATAAGCATAAACAAATTTCAATTATTTTGTTATACTTTTATTTTCTTCCTCCTGACCTTTTTGCTGATATTGTTGGTCAGGTGATCTCAATTTATAAGAAATATACACAAATACAATATATGTATGTGATATATGTGTGTACATATACAAAATGCATAACTGTACATAGAATGTCCTCACTTATATCCATGCAAACTATTTAAATCCATCCATCCACCCATCCATCTAAAAACATTTCAGTGAATATCCCAAAGGTGCTTTTTCAAGAGGCAACTGTTCTGAAAAAACACCTTTGGGAGAACCATAATGTGGATGACCAAGACTCTCCATAGACATTTTAGTAAATACTTTTAAATATTTTGGTGCATCTGTCTTTGCTTGTTTTTATTTTTTGTTTGGAGGACCATTGTTCTAATCCATTGTTGCTAATTTTGAAAAAAAACATACTTTCTTCAAGGAAATTATTAACCTCTTCAAGAACC